CTGGTGAGCACTTCCCACTAATTGTGACCTCCAGCCAGTTAGAGACAAGAATTTAGCAAGCCTCATAAAATTATAATGAGGAGTAAGCAAATTATCTTGGTGAAATGCTTATATTCAGTGCCTGATGCATATTAAATTAAAATATCTCTGGAAAGGGCACCTAATAATTGTGACTACCTCAGGTAAGAGCTGTGAAAAGTAAACCAGAGATCTGTAGGACACCTAGCACAGTTGAGTGTGCAGCATCTTTTTTGTTTAAACTTCTTTTTTTTGAAGATTTATTTATTTATGCATATAGAAATGGGGTGGATTCACCATAGACAGAGTGGGGAGCCAACTGATGAAGGGGAGCAGTGGGTGGGTCAGGAGAGGTCTGCTGTGCCATGCGGGTCATCTCTGGGGCCAGGGCTCTAACTCTCACTGAAGAGGCTGCGGCCAGATTGCAGTGCTGCATCCTTACCCATTGCACTACCAGGGAGGGCCCATGTGTACAGTATCTTTTTATTATTTTCTTAATAAAAAGGTGCATATTAAAATATCCTATCCGCTGGAGCTGGAAAAGATCATGCTTAGTGAGATAAGCCAGAAAGAGAAAGAAAAATACTGGATGGTTTCACTCATAGCAGGAGTATAATGGACCAGGCGAGAAAATAACAAGAATAATGAACAACCATATACCAGAGACATTTTGTGGGGGGTGGAGTGGGGAATGGGATCAAAAACGGGGGGAAGGGGTGGGACGGGATTATGGTGATGGCACACGGGTGACTAGGTGATGGGAAACCTGCGGGGATTACAATTGGGATGGAAAAAAAAAAGTACAAAATTATGTAAAAATAAACTGTTATAAAAAAAAATCCTATCCTCAAAAGTTTTAAAAATAAGCACATATGCACATGCGAAGGAAAATAAGTCAAATGAAGAAAGACAAATGCCCTATGATTTCACTGATGTGTGGAAGATAAAGAGACAAAATAAAACAAAATCTTACATTTAGATAACAGAGTGATGGTTACCAGAGGGGAGTGGGCATAGTAGGGGTGGGTCACATGGGTAAAGGGGGGGGTCCATTATATGGTAGTGGGTGGAAATTAGGCTTTTGGTGGTGACACACATATGTCTGAGCATAAAGCTGTACCACTGAAACCCACGTTATTGCCAATGTTTCCACAATTACAAAAAGAACCCACACACATTAAAAAGAAGAAGGTAGGGATGTGTGCTTGACGTGAGTTGTAAATAAACCAAAGCAAAAAGAACGCATTGCTGTGATTAGAATGTGCAAGTCAGGCCCCATGTGGAGGTGGGTTCAAGCAGGCCTGTGGCCCAGAAGCCGAGGGGCAGCAGGGAGACAAAATGGTCTGGAGTGGAGGAAGGGGACTGGCATTTATAGAGGGGGCTGTGCCTTGAAAGCCCTGCAAGCCTGGAGCTGGAAAGCGCCCACAACAGTGGCCAGCAGTGTGGTTCCTGGGCACTGCTTTCCTCTTCTGGGGTACCAAGCGGAAACTATCTCAGGTCCCCAGTGCACTCACTTTCCTGGACCTGTGTGCTTAAGATCCCTTTTGTTCCTGCTTGATGCCCTTTGGCCCAAGAATGTACTACTCAGCTTTCTTAACACTTTCTTGAAATTGCATAGCATCTATAGATGGCTGTGCCCCACTGGAAGATTTTCCTGAAAGGAAATGAGACAGGAGGAAAAAAGCCCAACTCCCTGAAGTTCTTTCAGCACACGTTTTATGACTACTCCTCTTAAACATGAGCTCTTCTGTGTGACCTGCTTCCTCTCTCATATTTTCTTTGGAAAAGAGTAAGTTGTCATTTAACAAATAACAATGATAATGGGCCGGATCCTACCCATGCTCCAAGGTCACTGAAATACTCTCAGTATATAAATTCTTCATGAATTGCTAGATTTGTATAGAAGATATAGCTCAAGTCTTAAAGGATGTTCAGCTTATTCTCAGTTATAAATTCAGTCTAGCTTTCCAAAGGCTCGGAATATAAAATATTAGTTTTCAGTCTTCTGAAGACTATATCTTGCTGTTTTTCTGCTTTAGCTTTGGAACCCTCAGTGTTCACTCACCCTCAGTGAGTGAAGAACTATCCCTTTGGTGTCTGTAATCTATGCTTAATGCTTTGAAAAAAATGAGAGAAAGAACCATGGAAAAATTTAGTATTTTTGAAGATATTTACATGCATGACCATAAAGGTCACACATAATCCAAGAGTACATTGCACTGGCTGCTGAATTTACTGCCTCAAATGGAAATCTTACACATGAAACTTTATAAATACCACACATATGCAAAAGATAATTTCCAAAAAATTAAGAAATGTCTACAAGGATATATGTTAGCCTTAAAGAGTGAATAAATAGGGGAGAGATAAAATCAACAAGTTAGGATGGTTCAATTCAATAAATGCTAATAGCTAAATGATTTTTAAAAAGGTTTTATGTGACCTTTATAGATATTCTTCTTTTGGATTTGAAATTGCTTGATCTTTGAGTTTACTTTTTAATTAGCCCTTCTGATACTTTCCAACCAAATCTGATGATTCATTAAGCAATTTCAGTATGGTGGGTCAGAAGGTGTTTGACATTGTTAAACAACGTCTTAGGGCGGTTTAATCACTGTGCAGTCAGTGTTATCTCAGTATTGGCATAATTTCAGAGGTTCAGAGAATCAAGAGAAGTACATTGTCCACGTGTTCTGACCCACGAGCCTTGGCTCCTGGTCACACCTGGCTCTCAGAATGGCCAGGGGCTATCAAAAGTGGCTCCACTCTAATTGTTTTATCCACATGAAAAGCATGAAAGCTAAACTTGAGTAAAATTTACTCCTTTCAAAGAACCACCCCACATCTTAGACTAACATTTCATAAAACATATTTTGTGATCAAAGAAGTTTGGGAAATAGAGACCTTCACAGCCATCTTTTGCCTGTTTTCTTTAGTACAGGACTGTTTTTGGTCCTGTGCTAATGGGAACTCCAAGTCACTAAGGGGTGGCTATTACCTGCATTGGTTCACAAGATACTAATTCATATGCTCATTCTTCCTTTTGTTTTGATCAGCACAGGAGTCTGGACCTGCTAGGTTCCCAACCTGGGCTGGTTCACCTCTTCTTAGGGAACCTGGTGGTGTCCTTCCCTGTGATGTCACCAGACTGATACTGAACTTTGTGAGAACATCTGATCACAGTCACTACAGCCCAGAACTCCTGGGCTCAAGCAATCCTGGCCTTCAGCCTTCTGGGCAGCTGAAACTAGAGACTTACATACCATCATGTCTGGCTCATCCTTTTGTTTTGATAAAATACCTTGTTTCTCTGTAACTACCCAGTTTTCTAGTGTGTTCTCTTGGGCAACTCTTTGTCGCTTTGGGCTTCAATTTTATTCTACAAATAGAACTAAAGAGACTCCAAAGGTTCCTTTAACTTTAAGTTTGCCTAGCCCACTCTGCCCGCTGCCTCATCCCCACTCCCACTTGGGGAGGATTTGTGATAGCATATGAAATTGCTATGAATAGAATAAGATTTTTCTAAAAGAAAAATCCATTTTCTTTTAGTCCATTCATTCATTCATGAAACATTTATTGATTCCCAAGTACTATGCCACGTCCTGAGGACATAAAGACAAATGAGACACACTAAAGGCCAAGTTACACCATCAATAGAAATGGGCATAGATACTAAAGGCACATATGAGGTGATTAGAAAACGTCACCAGCATCATGTGTGATGAGGAGCCCATGAACACCTGGGGCAGGGAAGTGACTTACTCAGAGCTGCGCTCTATGCAACTGTAGAAAACAGATGCAAAGAGAAAAGAGAGGCTGGGAGCTCATTCAGGAGACAACTGCAGGTATCTGGGGGGATGGACAGATAATGAGCACCAGAACCAAGAAGAGACAGGAAGGGACTGAGTTGAGAGATATTTTGTAGTTTATCATCGGCTCAGCACATGGACTGATAAAGTAGTAGGGCAAAGGAGAGGTCATCACCTGCCAGTCTGGGTGATGATGAAGTATGAAATGTCAGTTTAAGAGAAAGGCTGATTTCTGGAGAAAAAGGTGGTATGATCAGTTTGGACCTGCTGAGTGTTCAGACCTTTCTTTTCTCTTCATCAAATACATTCTGATTTTACTTTTGCTGCTTTTGTTCCATTTGTTGCTTTTCCACACGTGCACATGTGCCACTCTTCTGCCATTCCACTCGTGCCCATACCCCAGATGCCTCCCTCCACGCCAACCTCCCCCCAGTGTAAGGCCTCTCTAAAACATTTATAGAATCTGCAAATTGGAGTTGTTGACTAGAGGACTCACATGTAAGCACCATGCTATTACTGCCAGTTATTTATTTGTTGGGGGTACTGCAAATAAGTGGCACTTTTATTTTTAATACAAAAACAGTAATAAGAATATTAAGTACGTTCAATTTACTCTCATTTAACTACAAAATTATGAGGCACGTAATGGATAGCGTTCATACTTACTGATTTGTGTCTAGTTGTTTCTAAACTAATTTTTAGTTGAAAGAAAATAAACACATGATCATTAGTATAGATTTCTTTCACCAGTATTATAAAACATTTTTTTTAAATATTCTTTTTACTAAGTCAATAAAATTGGTATAGGTGAATTAAAAAGATGACAAATCTGTTCCAAATGTACGTATGCTAGATGCTTAAAGACCTGAAGTACTGCAAGCCGAGGAACTGGATTTCCTCTGGTGTTAAACTGAACTGATACCCCTTGTATCATTTCCTCCTGAGTGCACTATTTAAAGCAGACTCCATAAGGATCTTCTACAGGTTTAAAAACATGGTTTGCATAAAAATAGGCTCAAATATTCATCTGATCTTGAGACAAGCAATAACTAGAGCCCAAGAGTTTGCATCTTTATCCTCGAAATAGGTCTAGATATGCTGGACTCAGTGATGGGAATGTGTAGGGAAGAAGGAATGACAAGAAAGAGTAAAAACAAGGAACAAAACTCTTACCAGGCTCTTCTTGTATTTTGTGGTTGTTTTTAAACCAGGTTATCTGAGGCTCAGGCACCCCGTCAGCCTGACAGTGTAAGGTGGTGGAGCTGCTGATAGACACTGAGTGATCGCTCAGGTTCCGCAGGAGGTAGGGGGCTTCCTGATCTAGTGAATAAAGAAAAGGAACTGTTATTGCTCTTCAGTGTTATTTTACTGTACACATAGATCAACATTGTAAATACATATAGGAACAGTAAAATTCAACTGTCAGGGTGCATTTGTATTTTGTTCTTTAAGCTTATCTTATATGGATAACCTTTATTAAGTTGCTATAATAAATCGAACTTGTTAGAACACAGAATAAAAATCAAGACCTAGGATCTGTATTTTCAGGTTGTGATAGTAAGATTTTTTGCCTCACCAACTGGTTCCCTTCCCATTTTTTTTGAGAGAAACTTTTCTAAAACCTGAGGATTTTGCAGAACCTTTTGGGAACTTGAAATGAAAAACCTGATCTTGTATATAAGCTTGTAATGAATTTTCACATGCATAGATGGCATTATAGTGATGAGCTAATACAGTTCCATGGGTACTCTTCCTGATAGACTTGTGGAGGTATGTTTGGATTCTCAGCTGTCAGTCACCTAAATGGTAAGGCAACAGACCAAACAGGAGAATTTCTTGAACTTTGAAAGCTTTATTGATTACTTCCTTCCTCCACTCCCTTCCCAAATGCAAGCGCCCAAAGGATTAATTCAAGAGGCAGAGGCACAGATTTGTAGTTTTTGCACTATATAATAGTACAAATAATGTATTTTATATTATTTTCTCTTAAAACATACAAATATGATACAATACAGTTTATTTTAATAAAATGCCAACCAATATAGTACAACAAAATGAATTTAATACATTAGGATGCAATACATTACAACATGAAAATCCCACATAGGAATAACAGTACCCCCAAGGCCCCCGATGCACAGTGTCTCTATTTCATGAAATAGTCAGTCAGTCCTGCTGATGTCTATACATTCTAGTTAGGTGGGTGCTGGGTTGGTAGCTCAAACTTCCAATGTAAAATAATGAAAAACAACTACTGTCTTTCCCACCTTCCCAAATTATCCTCCCCGCCACCCCACCACTGTTGCAAATCCTGGAACAGAAATCAAAAGAGTTTTGGCATAACTTACGCATCCTGCGTCACTGGTTTCAATTATAGAATGAGCTCTCTCTGACCATTTTTGATTTCCTCATCTTATTGTACTAAAACTCTGAAAGCAGCTTAGGAGTGATTACAATGCTCTAAGAGATGACACATTGCAATGGCTTTGATTCCATGTCCCTGCAGGATTCTGCCGAGTCCCAAAACCTTTCTCTTTTTATTCCTGCAGGGAAACTCTCAGGATTAGCATTCATTAAAGCAATTTAGAAGTCTCAGATTAAAAAGTATATTATCATGTAACTTTTATAACATGTTGACATGGTATATATAAAATAGCAGGATTACTATCTGTTAGGAGAAACAGATTGCTTATTATATTTTGATTTCCATAGCTTATTAGACTTGTTTCATTCTATACAAAATGAAATCTGAAGGCAAAAAAGTGTTAGAGGAAGCGCTTTGATTTATAAACTCTTCCCATAGAATATAGAACAAATGATAGCAATAATCCTTTCACCTGTTTCAGTGAGTCTTTTCTAGCCTGTCTTGGCTCCCTGGGCAGAACCATTTGAGTATTTCTGTGCTTGCATTCTGTGAAACAGCCTTTCCTAGTTGAAAATGTAGTCCTGTATCAAAATCTTCAATTTTGATAACTTTTACCATGCTTGATCATTACGATTTTGTTACTTTTATACAGTGAAGATCCCAAAGGTATCAGCACACCAGGATAAGAAAATAAAGAACAGTATCAGATTACAATTTAGTATCTTTTACAGTGGCAAGTCAACTTTGACAAATCTCATTTAAAACTCAGACCCCACTCACTGAATTAGGCTTTTAATAGCTTTCTCCAGCACACATACTATTACCTATGTATTCAATATAAAATAATCTATTACTCCCAATAGGCCTTATTATCAAAAGAAGTCTGAACACAGAGCCCACAACAATCAAATTATTTTCATAGCTACAAATTGTAACATCATCAACACAGAGTTTGAGCTTTCCTGACAGGCGGATGGGAAAACAACACTTGCATAGAAGCGAACACCTGATTTGAACATAAATGTCACAAAGGACTCCCGAAGGATTTGCCCTAACTGTACTACACAGACTTCAGACAAGAGAAGCAGCAAAAGGGTGGCAGAAATAAACACGGGTCTCTCAATTAAATACAAAGTTTATATAAACATGTCTGAAACATACAGTATTATGATTTTTTCTTTGTACCCATTTCTAAAAAATGTTCTCTGATGTGCTAAGTCTCATTTTTGGCTAGTTTCTAAATGACTGATCAACCAAGGAATCATATATCATCCCCACTTTATAGATTTCAATGTATAATATATACATTATAGTGATCTGCTTTAACATTTTAAATAAGGTACATTGAACTTTTATTGTTAGCCGAAGTTACCTGATGGAAATAGGTAGTTGTTTTCCAAAATGTAACTGTGGAGTTGATCCCTTCAAGCTGAGAAACTCAGAATAGGAAATATCTGCTAGTTATCAATAGCCAAAGATACTCTCCACCAGGTTCCTTTACTTTTCAGTGTTGCAGCCCTGAGATCTGCCAGGTCCCATAAAGACAGAATCTCTATCTCCCTGGGGGGTGGGGACTGAGGAACCAGCCTCACTCCCTCTACTCCTTGCCAACCATTCTTCCAGTCAGGCTCTTTTCTCTTTTTTCCAAAGATTAACTAATCACAATGAAAGAGAACCTACCTAAATGTCTCCTCTTTTTGAAATTCCTCAGGAAAGATGAATTATGCAGTGAGCAATAAATTACCCTATGGAAACTTCTAAAATGTCTCCTATAAGTACTAACACCTTTCCTTCTCCTCCCCACAAAAATGGCAATTTTAGGGCACTGGAAATGGTAGACCCCTCACGTCCAAGTCACCATTTTTAATGTTAAAAAATCCCTAAACTATTCCCTTTCCTTTTTGAGTTTTAGTAAAAAGTGAGGTCCCCAAGTACTGTGGTAGTCAAGCATTGTTTCCTGAAGGAACACTCTGACTTATAATGAACAAAGACGCCAGGCAAAAGAGCCATAGGTAAAATTTCAAGATACAATTGATTATTCTTTCCTTTGGGCTGACAACTTCCAGGTTACTAATTGTTTTCAGAGCATTTGGGACTCCATAAAACTGGCATTCTGGGGAAATGCTATTGTTTACTCTTTCACACTTGACAAAAGCAATTCCCACGTGAAAGACAAGTTTAGCCGTGGGACAGAGTCTGTTACCTAAAGGAGGAAACAGTCTGGTGAGTTCCCAAGCCTGAAAAGCTGTCAGATTGTCACCTCCTATCCAACTGCCCAGCCACTGTGTTCTCAGCCGTGGCTCTCTGGGTTATTATGTCTCCCTTCCAATAGTTCATGCAAGTCACATTTATAATCAATCATAGATGAAAACAAAAGAACAATACATATTAGATTTGGAGAAAAAGTCACTTTCCCTTCAAATGCAAGCTTAAAACAAAAGAGCATAATCTCTCTTGATTTAAAAATAGAGTGTATGTTAAAATGATTCTGAATTCTTCTGTAGTTTCACCATGTTTTAATCCCCATTAAAATCCTCTTAACATCTGCATATGGGGAAAGTGAACTTTTTATATGAACAAGTTTTAGAGATACAGTTAGAAGACTGTATTCAACCTGTGGTTACAATAGCTTTTATTTCCCTGGTAACTTGATTGCGGTACACCTTTGAATGTCACCGATTAAACAGGATCACGTTCTTTAGCATAACCAGAGGACAAAAGAATATTGAAACTGAAGGCATGATCCACTTCATTTCAGCTGCTGCCCATAGCTGGATAGTCCACTCAGAGGCAGTAGGCCGCCTGCAGGTTAGCTATCCAGAATTGCAGATGGAAGCAAAGTGGACTTGAATTGGGTGGGCTTTCATAAATCATATTGCAATAAAGCTTTAATACCTCTGAATTACACCGACATCTTGCACCCCTGGGGCCCACTTTAGAAGCTCCAGTTCAAGATGAATGTGCTTAATGTAAAAAAAAAAAAAAAAAAAAAAGGCATTTTCAAATAAATAAGCATTAAAACTCGCTATCCAGGTGCTATTTACAAATCAAGAGCAGATGAAATAGTACAAAATAAAACCAGGCAGTGGTCCAACAGAGTCTTAAATTCAACTGTACTCATTCTGGGCTGGAAAATTAACTTATTCATGTCCATCTTTGGCAGAAACCAGTATTTGCTTAAATTATTCAGTTTGTGCAGCTTTGAAACTTAAAAATAAAAAGAGGTTGGCATCAAAGTGGAAGGAAAGGATCAGTCCCAAGTTGCTTATCAGGCAGGAGAAGACAGCAAAGAGCAAAAAACACAAAGAATGCACTGCAGGGATCCTCCAAATCCAAACGTGCACCAAGTTGGCCCCCAAGGGCAGACCCCTCAGCCCGAATGGGGAGCCCAGAGCTGAGACCTTGGGGTCTCATTATTACTCCTATCATCTCCAAACTCATTTTGGGAGGAGCATCTCCTCTGAGCCGGAAAGTTAGCAACAGTGACAATAAATCAAGATGATATGAGACAACTGTTACTTTTTAATGAGTCCTTTAATGTTTTACATTACTTTGTGTGGTACAATCATTCCTTGTGCTTTTAAATTTGGAGATCCGAGAGAAAACAGCCTTTTTGGTGCAGTGCTCACCTCTAATTGTAACTTCTTTCTTCTGAAGGATTTCTTCCCCTGTGAATATGTTCCTGGCTCTGCAGGCATAGATGCCTGAGTCTTCCAGAGTAACATTCTTGATGACAAGATTGAGAGTAATGGAGTATTCTTTAGTGACAGCCATTTTTTGCTTGCTAATACTGTGGTGTATTGTTCGGTTGCTGACTTTTCGCAGCAAAATCCAGGTAATGTCTCTGTATAAAAACTTGTTAACTGTGCAAGACAGTTTCAGGTCCTCTCGTTCCGTGGGCATTTTTTCCAAGTTAACATAAAATCCATTTGGCACATCTACAACAAAAACAGAAAGGACCTCAGTACATAAGATAATCATGGACTCATACCCAGAAAATAGCTCATCACAAGATATTCAAAGCTTCAAAAAGTTGTTCCTATACAAATTCTCTCAGAATTAATAGGGCAAGCACTTATCTTCTTATTTTCAGGGGACTGATCAAACATGGTAGCTTGGAACCAACAAAGTTCAATCCACCAGAAATGAGGCAGGAAAGGCAAAAAGGGCCATTGTCAGGATTGGTATGCTTTCTGTGTTTGCCTGAAGTTGCTCTTCAAAGAGGAATGGTTTTTACCACTTGGGATAAGCAAACTATGCAGTTCTCATCACAGACAGAACTCCCACTGGTGAGTGGACTTTTGAAGTGGGCAAAATAGTGAAGTAACACAAAAGTCACTTGTAGTAGAACTCAAAGATGGTCAAACTTTTCCAAAGTAAGTTGTGAACAAGTGAGAATGGGAAATCCCAGATACAAAGAGAAGGACTGCAGCCAGGTCTGTCAGCATCAATTTAACCTTAAACTTTCCCAAAAATAAACAGCTGCTTTCCCAAATTCCCTACAATTGGATTGACAGTGGCTCCCTTGCTGCTGGGCCCTTACCTTCCTTCCATGGTCTGAGCTGGCACAATGCAGCAGAGAAGAGCCAAGTTACCTGCTCAAGTCCCCTTTTGTATGACCCAGAAAAGAGCAGGGAATTCTCCTGCTGATATTAACAACTAAGAGTTGTCAGAGTACAAAGTGGGGCCAGTGAGGAGGGGATGGCAGATAATAATTTTAAAGAGCAAATTTATGTTAAAAAAAACATATTAAACATTTTTGCAAAAGTGTCTGCATCATTACAAGTCATTTTCTCCATCGTCAATTCCCAGCTAACTTTCATCTCCATCTCATGAGTGTCTCTACCATACCTTCTCCTGTCTCTGGAGCTTTCTTACGCTGGGTCAGCGTTTGTGCTGACAGTTTCTTAGTATCATTTGGGATCATTTCATCAGAGGATTAAAAAAAAAAAAATCACTGGTTACTGGCCCTGAACTGACCTGCTCTCCAAACCCTCCTATTGCTTGCTACTGGTGGTGTATCTGTAGCTGAGCAAAGAATTTGCGCCAACATTTTACAAAGTACTTTGAAGATGAAAAGCACTGTGTTATGCTATTATTATTATTATTATCCTTTGCACACAAAGCTATAAAGAAACCTTTAAACCTTAAGGGGACAATAGTCCAAAATTAGATATCATATCAACTCTTTCCTAAATCTCACTTTGCTTGTTTTTCTGACTTCTCTGGGCTTTGGCTTTATTATAAAGTGTCACGTCTGAAGAAATGCCAAAGTATTCATTTGAAACCTGGGAGCGGGGGGTAACAGTGGCTTATGAAGCTGTCAGTGGTTGGAGAGAGAGGATACCACGAGAAGCTTTCCTGCTCTTAAAATGAAAATCTAAGAATGTGCCAGAAGATGAAGAAGTAATTGATGGTCATTTTTAACACAACAATAAGGTGTCAGAAATAGCCCCACTACTTCAGCATCTTTTTATGTTTGGAACGTTTTCCAAGCATGGAGAATAAAACATCGACCATCAACTTTTACACAGATACAAGAACAGATGTATTATGCACGGTTGCAATCAAGTCATTTCTGAAAAGAGCACAGACTTTCCATTTTTGAGGTCTCATCCTGGTAGTTAGAACCCACGCAAGTCCAAGTAACACCATTAAGATCATGTAGAGAGTTTCTATTTACTTTAGTGATTTGAAACTTCCTGTGGAAATAGCTCACAGGTTTCCTGATGGAAGATTTTGTTTATCTTTGCCAAGCACCACCAGGAATCTCAAAATAAAATGCATTTAGTGACACTGGGAAACCAGGGAGATAAGGCCGAGCTGTTCCTGTTTCACCCTCAGTAATTGCTAACACACCCATAGTCGTGCTGAGTGCCAGCAAAACAGCAAAAACACACACATAGGAACAGAGAAGAACCAAGTAGGTTTTGAGATCTGTTTCTCACATGGGGGGCATTGTTACTGAAGCTAATTTAGTTTATGTTATCAGACAGCCTCTTAGAAATGGTTACCTATCTTTCAATATAACCCCTTTGGTATTCTTTTTGATGCAGAGAAGATGATAAATAAAATGTCCTAAGCTGGTTAATGAATCCAGAGGGATTTTGCCCCTTAATTCATGTTTTTTTTTAGCCTGAATACAAAAACAGATCCAAGAAAGAACTGCCTTCTGACTCTTAAAGTGAAAGCAAGAAATCTTCCCATGATTAAGGATCTGTTGCAGATTCAGTACAATCATCACCAGTGTCAACTTATAATCATCCACCTAACATGTGTCACATTCATGTCCTCTTTTAAGGCATTATAAAGAAGAGTCAATCCTTGTTCAGTCAACCTAGAGTTACACTCAATCTAGGTCACAAAGGTGTATATTTGGAGTTAGACATTTTGATTCATTGGGATCAAACACATGGATTAAGTTCATGAAAGAGATGAGCACAGAAATGAAAAGAATGAAAAGAATCTTATCTGTCAGGTAAAAATAAGACCTTTCTTCTACTAAAGAAAAAAAATTCTTAAAAAGAAAGTGAACGATTATTATTGCTTCTTTCAAGTAGATGCTGTGTAACAACGGTGTCCAAATGATTAGTGCAGCATGGTGTTCTGCTTCTCCTCACAGCTAATCCGTTTGCATCATTTGGAAACTACGCTAAGTCATTATAATTTTAAGAAGGAGCAAAGTGTTCAAAATGAGGATCAATAAAGACCTAAGTCTAGATCTTTTGACTCAATTCATTTAAATGTTACATTCTTTAAAAGCATTATCTGTAATAGGTCAACTGTAAACACAGAACCAAGATACAATATTTCAGAAAAGAGACACACAGGAGCAACATTCTTAAAAGAGTATGTGTTCTCATTTCTGGTGAGGATAAATCTCATGACAAGGATTTAAGAAAGAGATAATAATTTGTTTTCAAAAGAATGAATGTAAGTATATGAACCTATTATCACCAATCAAAGCTAGAGTTTTTCAAGGTTATTAGAAAATAAGTCAAAAAAGTTTAAATTCCAGGCATTTGGGTATTTGATTGGCATCTTGATTGGCTGGATTTGTACTCAGTTTTAAGACTGCAGCTCTTGAATTTCTAGAGGAAAACTATGAACTTCAAGTAGGTAGGCAAATCAAAGCTCATGCCTCCTTTCAATGGACAAGTCTTGGCATATAAAAAAGGTTTCACCACCCCCATGTTGTCATTTATATCACATGGTGGGAGGTAATTTCTGCATGGATTCAGCAGGTGGTTAGCTTTATCAGCTGGGACTCTTTGAAGAACAACACTATGTACAGATGCAGGAGGCAGAGTGAAAAGCTCCGTGGGATGGGCTGGATAGCTGTGGAACGCTCATGAATGCAGGGCATCAATGAACCTTTCTTGGGGGACTTTGAACTATAAGAAATGGAGCATGTTATTCTTGGTACCCTTAGAACATCCTCTACCACTACTACCTAGGCAAGAGAGGTCGCTGTCTCACTCTCCACAATGTAAAGAGTGCTTGGTTTAAGTGGGAGCATGCTCACCAAAAGCCTGGGTCACTCTTGCATCCTTATTTTGTTTAGAGTCCTTGGGATCCCAGAATTCCCTGTAAAGATGGTCCCAAGCCTGCTTCCAGGCTGTTTAAAGCTTCTTTGGGGATTTGGGGTCTATCCTCCTTGGGTCAGGTTGCTTGTCAGCACACATGCCAGCTCCAAGGGAAGACTGTTTGGGCATGAGTTGGGTGTGTGTGAGCTGGGCATACACCTGGTACATAACCCCTTGCAGTATAGGACAGACCCAGGAGTGGAAAGATTTTACAGGCCATTGTGAAGGTGTATTTGTTCATAAGAGACTGAACCATAACACTAGAATTAGGACTTGTGAGTGGTTAGATGAATGATTTGTGGGCCATCATGGGTACTCGTGTTGACTCTGAAACATCAGTGTAGACCTCTTTTCTCTTCTTTCTTTTCTCTATCATTTTTTTTTAAAGATTTATTTATTTATGCATACAGGTCTGGGGTACAGGGGTGGTGAGAGAATTCACCAGAGACAGAGTGGGGAGCAGAACAGGCAGACTGAAGAAGTACACTGCTGAGGGGAGCAGCAAGGCAGGTCAGGAGAGGTCTGCCGCGCCTTGTGGATCACCTCCGGGGCGGGGATTGAACTCATGCTGAAGTGACTTTAGCTTCTTAGTGCTGTGCTTTAACCCACTGCACCCCAGGGAGGGAGGGCCCTTTTCTCTCTCTCTTTTTTAATATTTATTTATTTATGCAGGGAGTGTGAGTGTGAGCAGATTCACCAGAGACAGAGTCGGGTATAGAACAAGTAGATCTACTGAAATACACAGCTGAGGGGAGCAGCAGGTGAGACAGGAAAGGTCTGCTGTGCCATGTGGGTTACCTGTCTGGCTGGGGATTGAACTGCTGCTGCAGTGGCTGCCAATAGCTTCAGAGTGCTGAGATTTTAACCCCTGTGCCACCAGGGAGGCCCTTCTTTCTCCTTTCTACCTATTCAAATATTCAGCTTCTGTTCCTTACCCCTCCTCAGATCCTACTTCATTCTTAAAGGTTTAGAGCTACGCAGTGTGGTGTGTACCTACTAGTTACCTGGGGCTGTTGAAATCTTAAAATGTGGGTAGTGTGACTGAAGAACTTAATTTTAGTCAATTAACTTTTTTCAACTAATTAAAAAAATTGAATATTTTAAAATACTGATTTCATGTTGAAAAGGTAATATTTGTATATAATATTAAACAAAATTAATTTCACCTTTAAAAAAGGTGGTTACGGCATGGTTCAACCTTTTGTCTTTGAAATCAGACACCTAGTGGCTACAGATTTGTGTGGTAACATGTTTTAAGCCAAGTTAGAAAGGGTAATCCAAAATTTCATATTAAATGACTCCCAAATCACCTGAGGTTGGCTGGAAAACCAATTGGTGTGAATTCACTACCTACTCTAAATCAAGAAATTTTCCTCTTCAGAATGAGGAAAAGATGACTTCCCTTTCACTTCTTGAATGAGAAAGAACAGCACAGACTTGGTCCAGAGTGGGTCTGTCGTATGCCCCTTCACCTCTCCAAATGCCATTTCCTCATGTGGAAAATGCAGGCGCTATAATACTGCATGGTCACGAAAGTTTCTTCTAGCTCTGACATTCTGTGAGAACTACTGAAAATTACCCCCCACAAAGCAGCTTCTCTGAAGGGTGCTGATGGCAGAAGTCTCCCTGTGACTTGGCAACCCACATACCTCATGAAATTGAACCTACTCATTTCTTTCTAGAGATCACCAGCAACACTGCAGCCTGCAACATGAAGTGCAAAGTTTCCAGAAAGTTGGCAAGCTGCCTAGGTTTCCTCAGAAAATTGGGGGAGTGTGGAGCCAGGCAATTGTTTTCATACTTTGAGCTACTTACTTCCTTCCTGTACTAATGGAGGACATAGGGAGTGCCATTTGTGTACCTTGGAAGTTTAAGGATTCACATAAGATCATATTTAACACTAAAACCTCTTAATGGTGCCCCAAAACAGCACATTAATTACTATGAACAAAGCTTAGTTTCAGATTTAAAGGAGAGCCTCATTTCCCAAAAAGGAGAAATTATTTAAGTTGGGAAACAATTAGTTTCTTGGCTAAATAAATGTTATCATGGACATTATAATTGGTTTCTTTGATTACTGAACAACTTTGGTTCAACTATCCAGACTCTGTGCTAGTTACTGAAGGGAGTTCAAAAATGAACCTGCATGATCCCAGATGTACAACTCACCCTGGAAAAGAAGACAACACATACAATTCTCTAGAAGAGAATTCAGGGAAATAACTCTTTAGGAAATCCAATGATTCTGTAGAATGCCTTTCTTGAGGGCAAGGATGAAGGTACTCAAAGTTTAACAATTCTATGGAATATTTTTTAAATAATAGTCACACAAGCTATAAGTGAACTACAAGCAAACACGATTTGAAGAGAGACAAACTAAGGTCACTAGCCTGTCTTTGCGAGTATAAAATGTGAGGCTTACCTGTGATATAAAATCTTATGTTTCTCTCCACAGTTCCTACTTTATTGGAGGCCATGCAACTGTAGATGCCAGAAGTTCTAGAATCTGCCACAACCAAGGTGCTTGCCGTCTGCAAAACAAAAAGTAAACTTTAGCTGACCATAGGACAGAAAACTAACTGAACATCCCTCAGGTCTTGGGGGAGGGTACAGTGATTCAGCTCTCTCATTTACTCAGCAAACAGTACAGGAGCCCCTGTTAACCAGAAGGCTCTCCGTCTGCTGAGCCCCAGCAAGAATGGAAAAATAACAGGAAAGCAGGTCCTCAGGAGACTGGGGACTATGACATCCGACTCATTCGAGGGTTTCAGGCTTATTTATCTAGTGCTGCTGGCGTAACAATCACAGACCTCAAACCGAGATGTGGGACTGCACGTCCCTCTCTGGGTGGTGGTCAGCTCCACGTCAACGGGAGGAACAGGTGAGGTGACCTGCCCCGATGTGCAGACAACCTGACATCGCAGAGGTCACTCAATACTGGCAGCCTGTTAAGTGTGGTCAGGGGCATGTTAAGGTGAGCAAAGACAGAAGAGAAAGTTTGGCAGGACCTTTGCTTTGACATTCTCTAAGAATGCAGCATTGCGGGCCGGCACAGTGCTGAGAAAAGCTCATTAAGTCCATCGCATGTATCTGTCATTCCTGATCTAAAAGTGAAGATCTAAGTCATGAATGCAATAGATTTCAGTGCTGCTACTAGAAATAACAGTGCTTATATTGCAAATTAGCCCCCAGAGAAATAAGAACAGTAAAATTTACGCAAGCTTGAGAGCTTCAAAATGGAATGAAACTAAGTGCTGAAACATTAAAGGTATATAGCTGTCAGACTGACATTGAATTTTTATTAAAGATAAAAATTAGTAATATTTGATAAAAATTAGGAGATTTAAATGTGAGTGTTCTTACACTTAACTCTAACTTGCAAAAGAAAAAAGCAGTAACACTCTAGAGGGTGCAGATGCTTCCAGACCAATAGCATGTCCTGACTGAAGTATAATTGTGGAGTGACTCACAGGCTAGTCACGTATCAGGAGCAACGTGACGGAGGAGTTAAAAAATGAGATTTTTTTTAAGACTCCACGAGACTTGGGTCACGGAAAAGCATCCCAACATTGTTCTGAATTGTTAAACCACGTGGTAGGCACTTACATCCTCACATCCTTCCAATCCATTGATAAATTTCTGTCTTTAATCCACAGGTCAGAATACTAAGCTAGTATACTCCTAGCTTTTTTTTAGCCAGCTCTGTAAATGTCACAATTGTACAGTGAATATTACATGACACTTCCTCTTTTATTTACTGGATCTGTTTAATTACATCTATCCATGTATCCTCTGTTTATTTTTACAATCATTAATGAAAGTCTTTGCAATGTGGTATTATTCATTCTGCTAAGCAGACATTTGAGTGTTTATCAAGGCATTTCCCAGAGGTTGACAGAGATGATTATAACATAATCCCCACTTTTAACCTTGAAGAAATACTTTAAGGTAATAAAGAATTTCTCAACTTAAAAATCAAATATGCGTTATTGTCTACCCGCCCACGAAGGCAAAGAATCAGTGGGGAATCAATGAAATCAATAGTCTCTTTCCCTGTTTCAATCATTAAGCTTTGTAAGAGATGGGGAATAAAAATTCTGGAGAGCCCTTTCCTTTTTTAGTTATTGCATCTACCACTTTGGAATTACAGGAGAAAATGGAAGTAGAAGAGAAGCTTCTTGCTAACAATGTGAAAGGAAGAGTTAGCAAGTGGCAGCTGGAAGGACAGAAGCACCAGCCAGAGAGACTCTGCCTCCGTCATAGGGCGTTAGGGCTCAGGAGCAGCCTGCCACAGATTCAGAGTAAGGAGCACACGATGGCACAGTCCCTCCTCTCTGTCTTCCCTCAGCCCAAGCTCTGCTTTTATTATAAAGTCAGCTCTCCAATGTCCATGCCAAGGAGTCTCGCAGAACTTTGTTTAGCTTCTCAGACTTATTTATTGTTGCTCACTAAATAAGTGAAAAACTCATTTTTGTTTGGCTGGAGAATATTTGAAGTTATGGATATCAGGGGCCTGAATCTGAAAGTCTTATGTAGGTTTTTACTAAATTTGTTGGATTTCACTGAACTCAAAGCAATTGAGTACAGGAAACGGGTTTCACACCAAGGGAAAATCAGTTCAGATGTACACATTTGTCACATTTAAGATCTGTTCAGGCCATCTGGGAATGGCTGTAGCTGTTTCATAAGACTCACAACCGTCAGGCAGCTCAGATATATTCTGTGTCATCAGAGAATAAAATTAAGGTACCTAGAAGTGAAATGAACCATGGTGCTATGCATGGACCTGAGTCTCTTATGTTGCCTGAATGACCCCTTCCAAAAGAGACACCTTACCTATAGTCAAGTTTGTCCCAAACCTCTGGCGCAAAATCGCTATTAATATTCAACTAGAAAACAACATAGATTATATATATAATCTTTTATCTATATTATCTCATATATATGTGTATATATATATATGTATATATATACACATTTATATTTCATCTGCAGGCCTTTATATATTCCTTGCTGTACAACAGTGCATGAGGCATAATACCACTTAATCCTCCTGATAGTCCCATTGAGAGGGGTGTGTTACCTGTTCACAAGGTCCATCAAAAGAAATCTCAAAGAGGTCTGTTTGTATTTGTTCTACAACTAGCTTTTCTTTGTTATATTACACACATACATATTTTAGTTCTGAACCCACACATTGGAGGGTGCCTGTACTTGTCCTGCTAGGACTTCAAAGGTTTAGATATTGTTAGAAACAGGCTTTCCAGTCAAATTTCAGGTGTTTTTTTTTTTGTATGAGCCTGGAATGCTGGTGAAAAATATCATAAAAAGAGGCAACTGAGCTTATAGAAGCTAAATGATTGATTCAACGATACACAGTGCACAGACAGGCGGGGGCAGAACTAAAGTACAAGTCTATCTGACTCCAGGGCCAATGCTCTTAATCTCCTCACAGAACTGCTTCTTGCTTTAAAACTCTTTAATAGCATAGATCTCTGGATAGCACAGACACGGTGGTAGATTTATCTGGAAAATCTCCTGTGTCAGCAGAGATGGCTCACATATGCGAAAAGTCCATACTACATGAGTACTGGTCTCCTGTAATAATATTTTGCACAAGCTGCCAGCTGTTTTTCAACTGATATAGCATTACATATTTGGAAAATATGATTGTTGGATGAAAATGTGATAACTAAAGGAATAAATTAAAAATATGGTGGGACTTATCTTTTGACTGGTTTATTAAAACATAAATTTTCTAGCGTACTTCTCTTTTTTCAGAGAATATTTTTTTTATTTTAAATTAAAATGCATTTTCATGAAAAGCAAGAGCTATTGGACAGTGGAGGTGTAAGTTTTTTAGGTCAAAAAAAGGAGCTCAGGTAAGAGTTGCAGGTGGGTGTAATCTGGCTGGACAGAAGACAATGGATAGTAAATCTAAAAGCAGTGGTCTTCTGAGTAAAAGGGACAACTCAGTTCTCCAGGGTTCATTAACATCTAGTATGATTTTGAAGGCTGGGAGAGTGAAAGTAACATAATATCTACAGTACCAAATACCAACTTACTACTTTAAAAAGAGCGTGCCAAGAATTTGAGTTGTGGTTTGTGTTTGAAATTGTAAGTATTTACAAGGTCCACCAAAAGAAATCTCAAAGATGTCTGTTTGTATTTGTTCTAGAATTCGTTTTTCTTTGCTGTATATACAAATCCATATTTTAGCTCTGAACCCACACAATAGGGGTGGCCTGTACTTTTCCTGCCAGGATTTCAAAGATTTAGATATTGTTAGAAACAGGTTTTCCAGTCAAATTTCAGGGTTCTTTTGTATGAGATGAGCCGGGAATGCTGGTGAAAAATATCATCAGGTATGCTAAGCTTAGGAGTTATTCATACTCTTTCCTTCCTTTCCTTTAGCTAAGCATTAGTAATTCATGACTGTACTATGATTTGGACCTCACAGAATAAGATGAATGGGATGATGTGTAATTCAGCCTAATTTCCAGCACGGTGATCTTTATTTCAGGATATTTCTGATCCAGTTTCCTTTTAAGTGTTTCAGAAGAAATTAAGTAGGAACTGTAAAGGTCAAAGAACAATCTAAAATTAACCTGGGTGGCACATTTGAGCTAAATGATGGGAAAACAGAACATGAGAATTGGGGAAAAGCTGGCAAGTATGTGGGAACTGAAACACAACTGTAACTGTGATTGCGGGCTGATGCTTCTGTAATGGATTTATTTCCTACAGTACACACAGTTAATGCACCTTCAAAACAACTTCGAAGGGAATGTTGCTGAAAATTGTCAAATTTTCCAACCTCACAGAATTAGTGCTGTAACACCTATTTCCTGTGTGTTTTTTCTAACACAGGGTTTCTTCGACTTCCTACTCCAGATCACACACCCAGTGGTCTGGCATCCCCAATTACGCAGTGTGCAAAGTGCACATTTACTATTAGTGACTCCAATGGATGACTCACTTTTTACAAATCTCGACCAAAACTTGGCAATACGGAAACTGAATTTTATTGTCTCTACACCTTACCTTAAGCTAAACAACAAAATGAATGCACAGCAAAAAGCAAGTCTCTGAAATGAAGCAGGTACTCCAGAAACCTGGCGCCCCCTGATATGAGGGGTGGGAAAAGGGCCAGCTGCATCATTGCAGATTCAAGGATGTCACCGTCTAGGTTGGGGCTTGAATTTGCTTTCTAAGAATCTACATAAAATAAGAGTAGTCCCAATTGCAAAGGGAAGGCAAGTGGAGATAATCCTAAAGTAGCAAAACTTGTTTATCACATAAAAAGAAATTTCTGTCATACACACTAAAAGGTATGTTAATAGACACAAAAGCAGTAAGTTCTTTTAAATTCAGGACATACAATGAATAATTTACCAGAAGTAGATTGTGTTACAGTTGCCAAGAAGACATGTACTCTGTCTACTAACAAATCATCTATCCTATGTTGTATCTATCCATAGCTACAGCTATATAGTTCAGTTTTGTTAATGAGTGTTAAAGTTATTCAAAACAGTCTTTCCGGTGGTGGAGTCTGGAGAAGATGAGCAGAAATGGCACCTCACAAGGGGAAGGAAAAGAAGGAAGAACAGATCATCAGCCTCGGACCTCAGGTGGCTGAAGGAGAAAATGTATTTGGTGTCTGCCACATCTTCACATCCTTCAATGACACTTTCATCCAGGTCACTGATCTTTCTGGCAAGGAAACCATCTGCCATGTGACCGGTGTGATGAAGGTAAAGGCTGACCGAGATGAAGCCTCGCCATATGCTGCCATGTTGGCAGTCCAGGATATGGCCCAGAGATGCAAGGGCTGGGCATCACTCCCTCCACATCAAACTGCAGGTCACAGGAAAAAATTGGACTAAGACTCCTGGACCTCGGGCACGGTCATCCCTCAGAGCCTGCTCTCAGGAATGAAAATTGGGCGGATTAAGGATGTGACTCCCCCCCCACCCCCCGACAGCACCCGTAGGAAGGGGGTTCGCCATCAACAGGACTCCTCAAATTATTTTTCTGTTAAATTGCCTTCATGTAAACCAAAAAAAAAAAAAAGTTTTTCAAAACAAACAACGAATGCCAAGCAGCCTTCATTGTGGATGATCACAATCAATGTGGGCAATTACATTAGGGCATCTGTAATAATCATTTTTATAGCCATAGGTAAACTAAGAAGGGCAAATGCTATTAGCGCCAGTGTTTAGAGGTGAGAACAGAGGTTCAGACAGACGAACGGATTTGCATGTGGCGGAGTTTGGCCCCAAGACCAATACATCCCCTAGATCTTCTGCATAACTACAGAATTACAAGGCAAGAGCTCTGTTCCAGGTCCATGTGGCAAAAACCAAGGAAATTGTCTCAGACAGATTCTAGAATCCATGCCACCGTCTTTTCAGGTCTGCTTGTGGGGTAAGGAAGGTTGCTGCTTCACTGTGCATGCTAGTTAGAGGCTTTGCCTCGATTCCTCATCCATTTACTTGTCTACTGTGTTTTATTTATAAAAGCCCAGAAGTAGGACTAGAGCGACTACTGAAATTAAGACCATAAATTCCTGTTTGATTAACCTGCAGTTAATAGCACATCCAAGAAAAGGTAGTGTGAACTGATATACTCGATGGCAATTTGAAATTTTTCTATTACTTTTTGATAACTAATTTGCTTTCTGCTGAGGCAATTTCCTTTTTGACAAAATTAAGTTTTCAGGTTTATAGAATTTCCTCTTCTCTAAGTATTTCATTAGATTGTTCTCTCATCAATAGCTACCCATCTTGGGATGTTTTAAACTACTGTTCATTTGTATTAGAGAAAAAGCACTGTAAAGCCCTTACAGCTCTCCTGGAGTTCTACAGCCTTTGCCTAAATCCTAAACGTGATATACTGTGCCAGCCAGCACCATTTCCAGCAAGTTCTGCACTGGTTTAGTTGGCAGAGCACTGGGTTTTAAAAAGGAAGGCTTTCCTTTCAGTTTCTGCTTTGTAACTACTAAGCTGTGCAGCTTTGAGTTAATCATTTTATCACCCTGTTTTTTTCTTATCATTAAAATGGAAATAATCACTCTAGTCTGCCAAGAATAATGCTGATATTAGCATATGTCTAAAGGTTTTACATAGCAAAGAATAACAGATGCTATTTGCAGGAGAATGTTGCATCTACTCTGTTACCTTCAAGTGCAAAGAATGCAGCTGAATAAATCCATAACATAAACTGAACCACCCTCAAGCTGATGGTGCATCCACTTTAACAGAATACTCCAAATCAGGTTATGCATATATAAAAAGGACACGTCAGCAAAAGTTTCTTTCTTTTTTTTTTTTTTAAGCATCACTAACTCTGTGTCTGATAGTAGCACAATTTTAAGTGTGTTGTTGTATTTTTTTTTAAACTAATTCAACAGAAAAAAATAGCCACCAGATGTGTATCTACTGAAATATGGCTGATTCAGGGCCTCTGTGGAGTTGAAGTGGTGCAAGAGTGAAAGAAAAGTTACTAGCTAGACCAAGATCTGTGTGTGTGTGTGTGTGTGTGTGTGTGTGTGTGTGTGTGTGAACTGCACCTTAGTCAGGCTTGGTCATCCTTATAAAGATAGAAAAAAGATGAGATATGGAATGGAAACACTCAATTTAGCATTAAGTCTTGTACTAGATTTTGCATATTGAGATCTCATTTTATATGCATGTCAGCGATTCTTAATCCTGGTTTATGGTAGGATCTCCTGGGTAATGTGAACCCCAGGCTTTTCCCCAGAGAGTCAAATGTAATAATAATTAATGGGAGATTCTAATGTGCAATATGAAAATCACTGATGTGGACTTGCTTGATGTTCTAAGAGCAACTCCAGCTCTTTCATTAGGACTCAGTACTCATTACTTTGCAGCTGGGGGTCAGGTGGAAAATGTGGTGGTTTACATCATTTCAGATCCCTCCCTATGAAAACATCTCAGACACAGTCTTCTCTCAGAAATTTGGTTTGAGTATCAAAGTCACTTCAGGTCCTAATAAAGCCTGAACTGGGACCTGAGAGTCTATGTTTAGCATAAGTATCCTACAGCTTATTTTAATGCACAATACCTTATTTTTTCCTTTTATTATGGCCATGCGCTGAGTGATGCTCTCAATTCTGTTTCCAATGTTGCTGTTAGGAGCCAGCATGAAGGACTCTTCACTACTGGAACAAATGTCAAACCTATTAAAAAAAATAAGTAAGTCATCACAATGTTGCTTGGCAGCCTGGTCCCACCTAAGATGACAGGTGAAAAAAAAATAAATGAATGAATGGCCCTCCCTGGTGGCACAGCGGGCTAAAGCGCAGCACTGCAAGCTAGTGGCAGCTGCTTCAGTGTGAGTTCGATCCCCTGCCCCGGAGGTCATCATATGGCTTGGCAGACCTCTCCTGACCCACTCACTGCTCCCCTCGGCAGTGTACTTCGTCGATCTGCCTGTTCTGCTCCCCACTGTCTCTGGTGAATTCTCTCACCACCCCTGCACCTCTGGCCTGTACTCCAGTTCTATATGCATAAATAAATAAAATCTTTAAAAAAAAAAATGACTGAAGAGCTTTGAAAACTCAGATAACATTTTATGTCAATCATCTTTTCCTTAGATACTTCCCCCCAAATCCACCCTCAAAACATGAAAGATAGCAAATACACTTGTCTGATCTCAAAAAACAAACAAACAAAAACAAAAACAAACCCTACACTAATGTACATAGTACCAGTTCTAAATACATAATATTAAATGTACAAAAATGCATAAATGAGAAATTTTAACATTTAGATTTTTAATTAGCTCCTCATGGGAGAAACATCCAAGAAAAAAAAGTTAATGAATGGAAACCTCGAGGAAATAATAGCATTTCACATTTATAAAAGGCTGGCTTTTAATCAGAATATTCCACTTTACAGCTCATTTTTATCCCTAGGGCTAACTAAGTGCATATGGTAACATACCACGGAGAAGTTACTGCATTTGGGCTATTTCATTTCATGTTTGGAAGTCTCATGCATAGGAAGCTCTGTAACTTTTCAGCTCTCGAGTGTTTAATTATAAAACAGGAGGTTAAAATAATTTATCTTTCGGTTCATTTTTGCTTCTGAAAGTTCAAAAAAAAAATCTGTCTTTGACTTTAAGCTAGTTGGTAGAGCAATCTCAGGGCGAGATTTCCACATGTAGAAATAGGCATGTCCTCTCAAATAAGTCATTACTAGTAAGTTTCTGTTTTCTTATAGTTAACTACCAAAATCACTGTGTGGACATTTATTGATCATTTATTATGTTTCATGAGTCCTATGAGTAATAAAGCCAAATGGCAGAAACAATACTTACATCCATTCTGACCTGGGCAGTGCAGTGGGCCTTCCGTGGCATTGCGCCGGACAATGCTTCCCACTCACAAAACCTCAGCCAGGCCAACCTCCTGAATGTTCTGGTTTCTAGTGGCATCCTCTTTGTTCCTTAGAATTTCAACAACTGTGCTAAGTAAGCCTGGGATGCTTTGCCTGTCGGTCGAAACCACACACAGTCCATCTCTACCTGCTGCTTCAACCTTATACCTGCAGAAACCCTTTGTTCCAGCGGTTTGACTGGCTGTTCTGTCCAGGTTGGTCTGGGTAGTTCAAAGAGTACTGGACCAGGAGTCAGAGGAAGTAAGCCCTGTCCCACCCTGCCTTCTCTTAGCTGGGCAACAAGTTCTCTCTTCTCTCTTCTGACAAGAAAAATCAGGAATGTATCTGCCTGGCTATTCTGACAGGGTTGTACAAACATTTGCTTGGAGAGGTTTTGTAGATGAAAGCTACCGCAGAAAAGGAAAGAATTATTCACACAGCACCCCCGGAAGTGCTATCCTGTCATCTTCTGTTTTCATATGGAGAAATCACTAGATACGCCCTCACCACCCTTAAGTCTGATCTTCTCTGAATAGCTTCTTTGATCACTGGGAACTCTCACGGCTTCCACCAACAGAACCATTCAATGAAAATACAAGTCCACCCTATTTGCACCCTCGTACTGCAGTTTGTATTTTCACGTGCTGCACAAATAAATACATCATAAAGTGTCCAAAGTCCAGCACTGTGCCAGGCACACGTAACCCAGGCGTTCAGTGAAGGACCATTGCAGGCGATTTGCTTTCTATTATTTATTACAAATGAATATCATTAAAATAGCCTTTGGAGAATTAAGTATGGACTTACTCAGGCTATCCCGAAAAGAGATGCTTCATGTATTTCAAACAAATATCCGTTGGTCCCGAGGCTTGCATTTCTCTGGGCAGGTAACCTGGCTTGAGTACCAGTGGCACTAAGCCATCTCTCCTGCTTCCTGATTAAGTGCTGATGTTGTTTATTTTCCTACATCTCCTTTCTACTCGTAGTTTTCCTTTCAACCTCCCAGCCTAAAGTGTGAGCAGGCAAGTGGGGACTTTCAAGGTTACTTGCACTGGGGACGTTCTGTCACATCAGTCTGTATTCTTAACATCTGGTAATTTGTGCTGAGCAGAAAGCTTGCTGGGTTTTAATTTGTGTGTGTTTGGGGCAGATTCTGGAGATATTTAAATCGAGAAGGATTTTAAAACTCAATTTCCAGAGGGAATAAGTGGTTGATCTTAAGTAGCCAAAGGCAGCAATGACTTCTTGTGACATGAGGAGAAAATAAAGTGAGAGAACACGTAAGATAGGAAAGACTGTGGTGCTCAGAAAAAATGTTCTATGATTATTTTGCTCTGTTGCTTGAACTGAGAGAGAACTCTAGTGCGTTCAACCATGAAGTCTGCTGGGTGAGACTGGAAGGGTGTGCTGCCCTGCAGGTTCCTCCCCAGACACTCAGCACCTCCTTCTAGCTTCCATGGCTGCTCCACAGGCCTGCAGCGCAGGGGGGGCCTGCCTCTATTGCTCGCTGTCCTCAATGACCTCACTGATAAGCAGGGGCCTCCCATGGAAGTGGCACCCTCCCTAGGCCTGCAAACACATAGACAGGCCTGGGGTAGCCTGGTATGTCTCTAATAAGAGCTTTCATTTGCTTTATTATTTTCATGAGTTGAGATGATGGTAAACCTCCCTTATACCGGTCACTCAGATTTAATAATGATCAAGACTTTAGTGATTTGTTTCATCACTAATTTTTTATGTGTGTTTATGTGAAGCATTTTAAGTAAATCCTAGAAAATCCTAGATATGGTGTTATTTTAGTTCTCATATTTCAGTAACATCTCAAATAACATTTCCAATAAAACACATTTGCTAATGTAGCAACACCTTTATCATATCCATTGGAATTAGCAGTAAATCCATCAAGCTCTTTGCCTTCAGCCTGTGCATTGAATTTCTCCAAATGATTTTAAAATGCCTGTTTTAAAGTTAGATTATAAGATTTAAAATAAAAAAGAATTCATAAAAAACTGGTCATTCCTTAAGGAATGTTTTGAGATTTCTATTAGCTATTCCTTATAACCATCAGATAAAACAGGTGAATATTATAACTCATTGATTAGTTCATGTGACTAAAATCAAAGAAAAGAGTATGTACTTTCTCTTCTACCTGAAACATTTTAAATCATTATCTACAAGTTACTTTGTCCTATTTTTCATTATTAGTATACTCCATTTCTAAACTGTAGCATCATACCTTGAACTACTATTTGAACTTTATATCTGTCACACACACAGTACATATATGAGTGTATATAACATGTCTGTATACTTATGTACATCCACATTCACTGTCTATAGGGGCTTTTACATGTTGAGATCAGTATACACATGTGAACACCTATAATGTGCACACGAACTTAGCCCTGTGATATCAAGCAGCTGAAGGTCTTTAATTTCTGGAGAACTTTCATTTCATTCCTTGGTCCCCTCCCCCAAAGAAGTGAAAAAGATAAGGAAGGTCTTAGATAAAAATTTCAATTTCATACTCGTGGTCTTCAGGAAATGCAAGTCTGCCCTCAGAGTTCATTTGGGGCTGTGAACCTCTATCTCCCTCCCCCCATCCGCCTTGTGAGGGGTACAGGCGCTCATAGGGAAACTATAGGGTAGATTTCTGCAAGCTCCTCATTCTGCAAAAGGACAATTTTGTGCCTATTTTCTAATTTAGGGACTGGTATTTTTCCCTCTTTGTGACTGGAACCATAAAAATAGAATGTCATTTAGATCCTGACTATATAACAGCACTTGAAAAGAGATTTAGTGGGGAGGGGAATTTGCCTAAGCCTTAAGAATACATCAAGCTCTTAAGGAAGTAGATTGTGCCATGTTTGAAGATGCAAAGATAATCACTGTGCTGGGAACCGTCTTGAGGGGGGAGGAAGCCGAACAACAAGAGGAAAGCAGCGTTTGCTCCTGATTTCGCACAGGAAACCCACAGCACCTCCTGCCAAAGGGAGATAAGAAAGCTCCCAGGCACTATTCTGAACAAGGCCGCGTTATCAGCTCCAGCGCCTCTCCGTGGAGCAAGGGCCTCTTGGCTTTTTCCTAAGAGCCTTAGGACTCCTACCTCGATTTGCATAGCGCAGGCCAAGTACAATAGCATAGAGGTATTTATAACCATTGGGAGGAAAAAAACGTTTCCGGGGTAAGAGTGTACTCCATGTCATCTCCGTCAATTGCCCTGCAGTTGAAACAAATTACTTTTGGACCAGGAATTAATATAAATAAATTAACAGAAAGCAGCCAATTATGTTTCCAACACATGGAGCTGAGACCCTGTCTGTGACACTATCAGTCTGTGTAACTCCAAGTCGAGCCATCTGTGGGGCTCTCCCATCTGGTCTACGTTACCCGGAATCTTCTCAGACAATGAGAAACTACTACTCTTCATAGATGGAGATGACATTACTGACCTACACGCTTTGGGTTGATTTTCCTAGAGTGATGATGAATTTGCCCTGGTCCCTTCACACTCAGAAATATTTGGCTCCTCGGTGACCCAAGACAGATGAAGGCCACCCAGGGCCACAATAAAAGGTAAAGCCAGTGCGGAGTCAGATCCACAATCCCAACAATGTTGACTATTGGTCCCCGTAAAGCAAGCTAACCAGCCATAGCATAGATTATAATAATTACAGTATACACCACACTGGTTTATACTCTGCTCTCTCCTTTGTGCTGGGTGCTATGCTAAATGATTCACATACACTTAAAAAGTAAGTACTACCACGCCCCATCATTTAATAAATACACAAATCGA